TGAACTAAAACACTTTGATTATCAAACATTTGTAAAATAGTAATGATAATAGAAAAGAGAGTGTTCTTTCACTTGAATTCAAGAAAGAAAGTCTCAGGATGGGTCATCCTGTATTTCTGGATTCAAATCAATGAAATGACAAGTTCTGTCCCATATGGTGCCTAGGTCAAGGTTTTGACCTTCAGGCCTAGTTCACTACACATCCATCCATTATCTTTACCCGCTTCTTCCTTTATGTATGTGTCACTTAAGTGTGTCACTGTATGGTACACCAGTGTCCCCACTGGTGCCCATATCTAGCAGTCACTGTGCGAGAGACAGAGGGGACACCTGTTCATGAACAGGTTGTAAGCCCATCACAGAAGACTGGATTTTTGTAAAGAAAAAAAAAAAAAAAAATATATATATATATATATATATATATATATATATATATATATATATATATATAGCCATTTTTTTGAAAACTAAAACAGTAAACTGTGCAGGCATATGCAATATTTTTTAACTGTGGAGAAATTGAGTACCCTACTTTGAAGAAATAAAGCATAAAGTTAAAGTTTACTTATAATTTACTCTGTGTATTAGTATCCACATACAATATTTGCAAAGGAAATAACAGGAGAACAGCTATAATTAGTCATTTTTTGTTGAGTATAACATCCTATAATATTCAGTTTTATGTTAGTTTTGGTCAAAGCTTGAAAGAGCCACTGCGAAGGGACCAAAGAGCCACATGTGGCTCCAGAGCCGCAGGTTGCAGACCCCTGATATAAAGTATCAAAAGAAGCAGAATTAAACAGTAAACAATAATAATGTAAATTAATACAGTATATTAAACGTCAACCTGAACATAAGTCTGTTGTGAGCAGATTGTATGAATATAGCAGTTTAAAGGCAAGACATCAGCAGCATGGATATTGTTAATAAAATGATAATAAGAGATATTTTGTCTGAAATGTGCTGCACAACAAATCCCAACACACAAAAAATACTCTTTCTTCTTTTTCCCCAAGTAACATGAGTGGGCTGCTGCTTTTGTTCTCCTTTCTCTCTCCATTATATTCTTGGATTATTCTGAATATAAGTGACACATTGGAATTAGAAGGATTAAGGTGCGACGGCTGTCTGTGTCCCCTCCTGTCTGCTGCTCCTCGTCCACACCTGCTGCCAATCGTCTGTCTACAGGATTTTCGAGAAAAACAAAAAAATGCTACACAAGAATGCTCTCAAGTTCAGAACAGTCATCTTTGCACTCGAGCATTGAGGCATTTTGTAAAGCAGTTATGTTGCTCCATTTCAAGGCTTTTATGATATAAGATGCCACATAGCATGCTTTAAGAATGTGTCAATTGAACGCACACTCAGATTTTAAAAGTCATGTTCTACCATGTCTTAAAATTGGACATCTTCAAAGAACTAAATACGCAAAACAAATTATTTACAAAATCTTGAACAAAAGAATGACCAAACATGTGAAACCATGTGTGTAGAAAAACTGATCCCACGGTCAAAACTGAGCCAAGTTTGAAAAGAATGGGCTCAGGTTTCTCCTCAGTGGTGTGGGAGATGGAAAAAAATCACAAGTTGTGAAATCTTTGTACTCAAGTTGTTGCTTGGGGGTGAATACAAATAACCTATACACAAAATCTTTGACACACTTGTGACATAAAAAGTTTATAAACTGAATAATATATCCTAAAACTGGTGGTTTCTTTGCAGGAAACTGTCACGGCTGTTCAGATTCAATGCATGAGGTTGAGTCTGAAACTTTTGAAGATAAATGTATATTTTCTTGCCATACCGTCAACCATTAATGTTGTCAACACAAGTCATCTAATGAGCCTTTTTATCTGGACTATCATAACCACTATGAGTCTTTTGAGGGTGAAGGTGCCACACACATATAGTTTTATGGATATTTAACTAGAAAATGTGCTATGTGTACGTACACATGCACAAGTTGGTTAATGTCTTTGGCTGCTTCTGACATATTGACCTCTTGATGAAAGACAGCCAGTCAGCTTTTAACCCAACAAAATCCACACCTGGTTTGTGGTGAGATGGATCCATGAGTAATCCAGCAGCAGATGGGAAGAGGCTATTAATAACACCATGACATATTATTAACACCATCATTAATCCGCCCTCTTTTTGTGGAGGCAGCTCCTCCTCCGTCTGTGACTGTGAATGGTGGACTGACAGGGAAATGTGGAAAATTACATCATGAAGATTGAAAAAAAAAAACAGCTGGTGGTGGGCTAAGACTCACCGAATTGTCATGTGTTGCTCCTGAATACTGTTTTAACAGTCTCAGTTCAGAAACAGTTCTGTTGTTGTTGAATTTTTTTCCCCACACGCATTTTGATGTCGGTTCTGGGAGTTGAACTAGCGACATTCCGATCACAGGCATGCCTTCTCTAACTTCTGTGCCACCACTCCCCCACATAGGGCTTCACTGATGGCAGCTTCTGTCTCATCCATCATTTTACCAGGGGTCCCTGTTGGGGAACTTACCGGAATGTAAAGGTCACGGATGTTTTCATTTACTGATGTTGAATTAATATAGAACCATGTGTGTGAATCAAGAAAGTCTTTTTGTCTACTCAGAGAGGAGCCTGAAAACTGATAACTGATAACTTCTTACGTCGTCAAAAACTTTGAGCTGTGAAGCAGTGGTTGTCCTGACCTCGCCTCTGTCTGATAGCGGATAAGCTTCTCCTAACTCGTTGTCTGTGGGCAGACCTTGGGACCGGGGCTTCGTATAACACCTTTGTACGCCTGTTTTCAATGCTGCACCCCTTGCAAGAAGTTAACCTTAGTCGAAAAGATCTTCTTGCATTCTTGTGTGGCTTATAATTAAATTATCCAACAGTCCCCAACTACTGGGCCAGGGACTGGTGCTGGTCCATGAATCAACTGGTTTGGGCCACATACAAACCTTAAAAACTTTTCCTAAAAAGATCCATAAAAATGGTTTTATCCATGTTGGTCATTTTATTAGGATAGTTTATTTGTCACATACAAGCAAGCCCACAAGCTAATCCTACTGCAGGTAGGATACTGACTGCTGATAACTCCACATAATCCCGTTTCATAAATAAATAGATACATACAAGTAAAAGCTGTAGTCTAAGATGTTATGTCAGTGCTAACATCAACCATAATCTTTAAAAAAATAACAAAGATCAACACTTTTTAAACCAAAGTTGTTATTTTGTTGGAGAAGCCTTATTTTCTGTCAGTAGAAGCAAACACACGTACATTAACACCTGGTCCTTTTAGACTGTTTTTGCTACATTTAATTATTCATAAGCTCACATTTATTTCCTAATAGATTTGTAAACAAACACATGCATTTTCCATAATGTTCAGCATTAAAGAAGATAGAAAACTATTCAAATAAATGTAGTTATATTATTTACATCCATAATTGAAACTCGTTTCCTAACACGTTTAGGTTTCTTAAAGTATATATAAAGGCACAAAACTTGCAGATCATAAGTTCACCTTGATTTTGGAACCAACGTGGTAAAGTAAATAATGCTCTCTATTAATGCAATTTATCAAATACATTTATTTCCTACAGGAAGTAAGAGATGGAGGAGTTTTCATGTTTGCACCCTTTAAGGTCAGCAACCAGCATGGAGACCAGATAATACAGAAACAAGATGTTAAAACCCAGAAATCTCCTGTATTATCAGTATTCGTAGTTGCATTTCTTGAATGCTCATAAGATTTGTGTCAAACTTACCAGCATGGGTCACCTCTTTAACCATATTATATGCAGTTTGCTGTAATTACATTACAACTAAATTTACTTTGTTTAAGAAATTTCACAATATACAGTTTTAAACAGCCGGCGGTTTTCACTTTGAGCAGATGCTAATATCTATTTAGATATATATTTCAGTATGCATAGCATGTTTTTACTGTATAAACATATTATAACAATACATTAATCACCAAAAATACAACTTTCCTTCTTATTTTATGCACATTTTACATAACTTCACAGAACCTAAAACCCGTCCAGGAGATTTGTAGATAGAATAATGATTTATTTCAACATGTACACGCAGTTGAGACTTAACACTGGTTTACTGACTGAAAGTACACTTCACCTGACTTCACTGCAAAGGGAGTGAAAATCCACAGCTCTAGGAATGATAAAGAAGAATGACAAAACTGGAAGAACTGGTTTGCTGGCGGCTTTCTCGCTCTCATAGTGCAGGCCCAGGGGCTGAGGTCATTTCAGTGAAGAATGGAGCCATCAGAGCAGGAAGCAGGAAACAGAAACGTGGCTGTGGGAATTTTGTTCCAGTGAGACACTCAGCTGTTTGGTGAGAAAAACAAAATTCAGTGTCCTCTGCCCATACTGCTGCTGTTCATCCTCAGTACCAGTAGAGATCCTTTTTGTCCACATGCCGCCCTGACACGGAGAACCCAAACAGAAAGTAAACACCTCTTCTGATAAACAGGAAAAACACCTGGCACACCTGAGCACCTTCTCTGATGACATTAAACAGCAAAATTTATTATTTGTAGCTATTATCATGATGGATCGAAACATTTTAAAACCATTTGATACTTAAGCATCTCACCTCTGTTATAATTATTGTCCACAACTATAAAAGATGTGCAGTTGTTTAATTGCTAGCATCTGTGTTTTGTAATTCATTTATTTTTGGTCTGTTAGCAAAATAGCTCATGAACTTTCAGAATCCATTCACTGACTCAACAACTAAAACTGATTAGCTTTGAGAGTCAACCTGATTTAAAATGGCCACTACAGCTAATTACGCTTAGTAAACAGGAACACAGCTAAAACCCAGCCAGTTTTGCTGGTAATGAGCTAAAGCATGGTGTGTTTGTAGGTGAGACTCATTCCCAACATGTATTCTGAACACTAAGAGATTGCATAAGATTTGTCTGTCTGTTAGCAAAATATCTCATGAACTGTTGAATAGATTTTAATGAAACTCTCAGAAAATAATTGTTTGATGTACATATCCAATGGATTAACCTTTGGAGCCAACCAGTTTCAAAATGGCTGCCACAACTAATCAACTTCATGAACAAAAAATGACTATAACTCATTTTCACAGACGGTGTGCTAATATTTGAAAGTAGCTGAGACCGATCCCAACACGCACTCCAACCAACAACAGGTTGCTCAATATTTTTGTTTAAAACTTTAGTCATGCAAGGCAGTGGGCAATATGCTTCCCTGCAATAAATGCTACTTTCAGATAATTGTAAAAAATGTGTGCTTCCAGAGAAAATTTGCACATGCAAAGTTAGTTTTATTACTACAACATCTAAAAATAATAATTAAATGCCTAAAGAAATAAACTGGTTTGAAACCATCAGGATTTTCTCAGCTGAAAGTGGTTCCAGAATTGTATGGGAGGCCAGGTAAGACAAAATTCAGAGTTACATGTGCATACTAATAAACGTGTGTTTAAAGTCGTCCATAAAAAAGTTAAAGACAAAAGTTCAAAGCCGTCTGTTGGGCCACATGTATACATGATTTCACATGTATACATGATTTCATACGTGTGTATGTGTTAATTATGAATTATGTTTTACCAGGCCTCCCATACATGGAGCGAACAAACTCAGAAAGTTTTACAAAGTTGTTGGAGTTTCCAACTCACCTGGTTCAAAGCTTATAGAAGGGTCCACAGACTCTCTAAATCCCTGAGGGACTGTCCAGCCGGGTACTGGTTCTGGTTTGGAACTGGAGGCCATGCTGGGTACGATCTCCCCCCGGTCGCTGTGCAGCAGATTGAGCAAGGATGTGGAATATTGCTGTCCAGTAAAACACTGCCCCTCCGGTGGCAGCGGGCACACAATGGCAGGCAGCACCGGACCCTCTCTAGTCCTGAAAGAGTTCCAGGACACAGGAGTCTCGTTTGCGGAGCTGAAGGTCACCGAGTGTCCCCCTTCAGACGGGACGAGGGACTTGGTGTAAGACACGCTGCTGTGGCAGGTGTTTGTGTGCTCTGCAGAGGAAAGAAACGCGTCATCGTGGTGAAAAATCCACCTCGTTCTGTTTGTTCCATCGTGCTTACCGCTTTTAATAGGTTTGTGGCTATTCTTTGTTTTTCCTGCGAGCTCTGTGGGCTTGCAGAGTTTACTGAGGGCCCGTGTGAAGTGGGCGTCCACCATGCTGTTGATGTCCCCCTGGAAGTAGGTGAGGACAAAGCTGTGGGAGTTCTCCTCCACTTTCACTGCGATCGGACTCTCAGTTCTTTCCTCCATGGCTCAGCTTCGTTTGGAAACAAAAAGAGAGAAACACCATCAGGAACAAAGGAACGCCTTCAGTAAATTGTAAAAATTTAACTATTTTGTCAATGTGATGAAAACTGCTGGTTTTACGCAACATAAAAATAGTTAATTACTCCTAAATGTGGAGCAGATTCAGCAGTTTTTCATCAAAAGGCAGGAGGTAATAATGTATTTTATTTCATTTGTGTGTGTGCACGTCTGTGTTTGACTCAGCAAAACATGTCATGAACCAGTGGTCGAGTGTTTATCACACTCATATGATTAACTTTTGGAGTCAACCCCACGTAAGATGGTCGCCACAGCTAAGGGACTTCTTTAAACAAAAAAGATTTTAATATGGAGCTTAAATTCGGTGTGTTGGCAGCTGAGAGGTATTCACAACGTAGTCCAAATAGTACGGATTATAAGGCGCAATATCAATGAATGGGTCTGTTTTCATACATAAGGCCGGAGTATAAGACACATTAAAAGAAACAAGTTAATTTTGACAGATTTTTGAGCCACATAAAATCAGATTGAGGTCAGTAAGCACAACCAGAATTAGATGCACTGGATTATAAGGCTCACTGTCGATTTTTGAGAAAATTAAAGGATAATGCGCCTTATAGTCCGAAAAATACAGTAACTGCTTGTGCAAGATCTGTAGTCAAACTACTGGAATCAATTGTGTTCATCTGTTAGCAAAATATCTGATGCACCACTGGATGGACTTCAATAAAACAGTAAGAATCGCGACATAAGCCGTAAGTTTAACTTTATACAAAATGAAGTATAAGAGTCAACATATTTTTCTGCTTAAACCAACTTCTCTGGAATGCAAATGAACCGTGCACTCATTCTGACCCAGACTTGTTGCTTCGGCATTTAGTTTCCAATGAAAACACAAAGCACATTTTTTAAGACACGCAGATTACGTTAATTTTGTGGCTTTTTTACGTCGGAGAGTCAGAGTTTCTTGATTTGTCATGTGTTACATGTGGTGGAACGAAACTGTGTGGGTCCCAGTTACATCCAACAGTATAGTGTAAAAGAAAAACAATAATAAGATCTAAGATATGAACTAAGAAAAGCATCAGCTAAAAACACGCTAAGCACTAATAGCATAAAAACAATACGCCGTGACTACGTGCATCAAAACAAAGACGGTAACTTACAGGTGAGTTTAACCTTTGAAATGGCGCTCGTTCTGAGAAATTATTTCTCTTCTGGAGAGCCTGAAGTGATTTTAGAAGGATTTTATTTTAAAAAGGCCAAAGATCCTAACAGGTTAAATCCTACATTTATGTATTTTTTTAGGGAGGAAGACAAATTCATCTAAAACTAAACAAGTGCTTCAAATTCACCCCCAGCCTGCAGCCAGCAGGCGTTCATTTTAATTGAACGAGCAATTATTCTGTGATAACAAATCAGTTTATCTTAATGATCTTTTCTTACCCGGAACTGATGATTGTCCGAATGTGACCAGGGAGCACAAGCTTGCATTGACCGCTCGACAAGAGGAAACGAAGATCCGAAGCCAAAACGATGGAAAAACTCCACTCGCCTTCAGTTTGAGCATCTGACCGTGGAGTGTTTTAAAGAAGCTGCGACAGCTGCGATCGCTTTCTCCTTTTCGTCTACAGGACTAACATTTTCTTCACAGAGCCACCAAAGTTACAGGATGTTTTATCTTGGGAGGGTGACAATAATGCACAGAATGCTATCCAACGAGTTCCTCCAAAACCTGAACAGCAACTCATGAAGCATTCCTCAGCCGAGCTGTCATGAACTCAAACGACAGCAGCCGCCAGTTAATTTGAGCGGAATTTAAAACAAAGGTTTAAATATTTGTTGTTATTATATTACCTCAATTAGTAACAGTCACATAAAAAAACACAAAACTTAGCTTTTTCATATTTAGAGATCCCATGATCTAGACCAGAGGTCTGCAACCTGAGGCTCTGGGGCCACATGTGGCTCTTTGGTCCCTCTGCAGCCGCTCTTTCAGACTTTGACCAAAACTAAAATAAAACTGAATTTTATTTAAATTATTGTCAACAATGAAAATGGATAGTTTCAGCAGATTTCCTTTCATTTTCAAATATGTGAAGAATAATACAAGGCGTAAAACATGTGGACTACATCGTGCTAGTAGTTTGTTAGCCACTTTAAGTCGACTTGCAGCATGTTTTGGAATATCTTTAAGACAAGTGGCTGAGAAGGAATATGGTGAGTAACTTTCATAACACTAAGAATAAAACACACAAAAAATGATTTATTTTCTTTAAAAATGTGAGTGGCTATCCAACAAACTGGTCTAATTTTATATTGCCTTTAACTTTATGCTTTAAGTAGGATAATAAAAAAAAAGTTAAATGTGTCTGGACCAGTTTCTTTAAGTGAGAAACGTTTCGTCTCCCATCCAGAGGACTTCCTCAGTCTACAGCCGGCCAACCAGATCTGTCCCATAGCCTTCTCACTTAAAGAAACTGGTCCAGATGACACGATTTTACCTTTTTTGTTGTTATCTACCTGGATGAGTGAGCTTACAAGCCTTTTTCTTTTCAAGTATAGGAAACTTAATTCTTCAACGATTAGGAGAACTCACATGGGCCTGCAGAGTTCAGTGTTTTATTTTTTATATAATTGTTAAAAATTACATATTTTTTTATTTTCTTTACTTGAATCTGGTCTTTTCTTTTGTGTTAAAATGCAAAAATATCAATAAATGTCAATAATAGTTAGACATGTTTCATTTTATAATATCAACCCCACTGGCTGGAAAAGCCATCTCCAACAAACTTGTAGAGGTCCACGGGCCAGCAGTTGACAGTTGGAGCAGGTTTTGTGGCTCTGCAGTGTTGTAGTCAAGACCACCTAACCCGAGACCAGGTCAAGACCAAGGCCAGAGTGTACCGAGACTGAGACAAGACCAAGACTTTTGGGGTCCAAGACCAAGTCGCGACCAAGACCTCAAGTCTTGGAGCTTAATCTTTTCACTGATAATCTGTTTTACTGTCATGACATAGTGACAGTTTTAACAAATATGTAAAAAAAAGTATGTAACTTTAATAAAAATATTTTTTATAAGTTACATACTGCAACTTTAAGTTTGTTTTTGAATGGATGTGTCAGTTTTTATACATTTTCAAAGCTACATAACAAAGAAATCAGACATTTGGGTTTTTTTGCACAATAATTTTCATGTCATGTGACCCACTGACACAAAACTTGTTAAACTTTACTAGACCTGACAGATGAGGCACCCTCATTTATTTCTCATTTTAAAGCATTTTCTAATTTTACATGTTTTATTTGTTTAAAAAATCATGGTTTTTACTCAGTAACTAATTAGAAAATGCTTTAAATGAGAAATAAATGATGGTGTCTTTGTGTGTCAGGTCTATTAGAGTAGTTTAACATTAGTTTTGTGTCAGTGGGTCAAATGATGTAAAATATGTTCATTTTTGTTTCTGAAGAGTGTTTGGTTCAGTAATTTGTTGACGGTCCCTCAGCGAACCATTACGTCTCGGAGGAGGGGCAGACTGAATGCAGCTGACTGAAATCAGACTGCCTGCTTCGGATCGGACGAGAGGAACACACCGCTGAAGCCACGGAGCTCGAATGTCCAACGTAAAACTAACTTCACCGCGGTAGAGAACTGAGGCTCTAGAATAGCACGAACAGTTCAGAAACAATTTGAAATGAGGAAAAAAATCTATTTATTAAGTGATTAAGTCGTGGTTTAGACTGATTATTGCTAGAGAATCTATTCTGACCAAAAGTGCAGCCGTGACTGGTTCTGATTGAGGCTTTACGCTCCCCTCTCTTTCAGGTACTGTGTACCAGCACAAAATACTTTAGTGGTACCCAGTACCAGATCGTACCGGCTTACTTTCACCCCTGGTTGCGACGTTATGTTTTGTTGTCTGTATTATTCTGTTGGTACAGAACCACATGCGAGTGAAAGGGGGTGGGCGTGACAGCAGTAAGAAAAACGTATTTAGCAAAGAGTCACATTATCACTTGGATTTGAATCAGTACATTTTGCATCCAGTAAAAACAAATTAACAAATAAACTGGACAATATTCTGGCAATTTAGTGATATTTCCACAGTTGTGGTCTTGACTGTTCTTGAGCTAAAATCCAGAGTCCTCAATGTCTGAGACGGAGACAAGACCGAGACCAAATGCAGTCGAGTCCGAGACAAGACCAAGACCATCAAAAAGTGGTCTTGAGACCGGTCTCAAGACCACTTTTTGATGGTCTTGGTCTTGAGACCGGTCTTGGTCTTGAGACCGGTCTCAAGACCAAGACCGGTCTCAAGTACTACAACACTACGGCTCTGGACACGTTGTAATTTGTAAGCAAAATGGCAAAAATGGCTCTTTGTATGGCAAATGGTGCAGACCCCTGATCTTTAAGGAGTCTGTGGCTATGACTTTGAACTTGGCAATAAATCTCAGTTTTAGTGAGTTGTCCTAATGAGAACATTGTTTTTAGTTGCCTGTTATTTATCATCTGCCCAAAGCCATCTGTGGTTGATTGATTTTGCCTGTAGTTTCTCTGTGTGTGTTTGTTACTAAAATACCCCATGAACAAATGGATGAATTTTAATGAAACTTGCAGGAAGTAATTGCATTACCAACACAACTGTTAAACTTTTGGAGTCACCTATCAAGATGGCTGCCACATCTAACTGACTCTAAGAAATAAACATGCAAAAATGTCTATAACTCATTCAGTTTATCAGATAGTGTCTTAAAATTTGAAGTGGTAGTAGCTGAGACTCATTCATAACACATACTCTGAAAGTGACATCTTATGATATTATGTCACATTCAACATAACATAAGTTCACATAAGTTGATTTTAGTCTAAAACTCTGGCATGAAAGGCAGCGGGCGATATGCATTCATTCAAGAAATGCTCAGGCTTGTGTTAATATTTATGAAATTTATCATTTGTGTTTCAAATTTGAGGTTAGAGACGTCTTAACATATTTCCATTATAGTGTCCAGTTCAAAACTGCAAAATGTTTGTTAAAAAAAAAAATCAAAGTGAAACCAAACAATTTTTTTTGTTTAATTAAAACAGGATCAACGACCATACTGTGTTAAATGTCACAAAATGGGACATAGAACATAAATAAAACATAAAATTATGTTGTTTCAGTTAAATATTCTATACAAGTTCCCACAGCGTCCCCATCAACACAAGTGCAGTACTGCACTTTAGTTAATTTTCACATGAAACCAACAATAAATGTGTTTTCCTGCTGAATGCTTTGCTTAAAGACAAAAAGTTCAGACATGCCGGGAGATTTTCATTCTAGGGCTTCAACTATGAACTTTAACTCACTTTAAAATGAATTCCAACTAAAATAATGTATAAACTTTAACATTTGTACAAATCATCCTGAGATGTAAAATTTAGATCTGAAGAGAAAGAGTTACATTGATTTGAATTCAGTTATGATGCATAAGTTCAGTGATAAATATATATATATATATTAAAAGTAAAGACTAAATTGAAAAATGTTTAGTAAAGACCGTCTACCGTATTTTTCAGACTTTAAGGCGCACCGGATTATAATGCTCACTGTCAATTTTCGAGAAAAATAAAGGATTATAAGTGTGCCTTATAGTCTGAAAAACACGGTACACAAGATGAACTTTACAAACAAGACTTATTTAATTTAAATTAAGCTAACCATCAGTGTTCAGTTCTTTCTGCTGACATTTAAGGTGAAGAAGTTCTGAAGGTGACGTGTGCAACTCTCCACAAATAGGATGATTTGACCTCTCCCTGCCGTAGCCTCAGTCCTGTCCCCTGGTGTTGTTGTCGTGATGGTGGTTTTGTGGCGGTGTCGGTGATCTGAGGGACGAGGTGTTGTCCGAGGCAACTGAATCAGAGTTAATGAGATTGCCTTTCTCGGAGCGGCCGCACACCGTTACAGAGCGGCTCCAGTCTGAAGGCACAAAGAAAACACACGCGTAAGGATTTAAGTCTGCTGCACAGAAATGAACACCGTCGAGCCAAAAGTACCTGAGTTATCGGTGAATCTAAAACGTCCGCAGCACAGATGGATTCTCCACTGCTTCCTCACGTTCTCCTTCATCAAGCAGTGGAACAGAAACACAAAGAACCCTGCAACCCACAGAAGCAGTGAACACTCCCACGTGCGTTCGATGCAACAAACTGCCTTTGAGCCGAATATAATTTGCGTCATTTGTCCAAAACTTTTAATTACCCTGTAAGGAATTGCAGATTGAAAACAGGTACATCATGGCCACTCGGCCCGGCCCGAATGAAAAGAAGCCCATTGACCAGGTCAGGCCCAACAGAACAGTGAGGCCGACGACTGCTCTGAGGTCCTGCAAAGAGTTGCGTTGTTTTGCAGACATCTTGTTAGCCCTCATATTTTTGATCTGGATCAGAACCACAATGAACACGGTCAAGTTGCCCAACAGGATCAGAAGAACGAACGCCACCACCGTCACGTAGAAGGAGACGTCATCCTGCAGCCAGCAGCTGGAGGAGCAGAGAAGGAGAGAGAGTTCTGGTTAATGGTGGCAGTTCTCGCTTCATCTGCGGTCAAAGGCTGCTGGACTCACAAAGGTTCTGTGGACTGAAGCGCCACGGCAGCATCTTTAGGTATCAAGCTTCCATAAGCATCTTTATCGACGGCCAGAACCAAGCTGACCATTACCAAAGGGACACCTGTGAGGGCGAAACGATCCAAATTCATCCTGCCTTTATTAAAAAAAAAAACTCAAATACTTCTAATGTGAGAAAAAAATGGAAATAAAACATCTGGCACACTTAAATCATTTCCAAATGCTCCTTTTTTTTGTTAAAATTGTTATTTTCCAATCCTTACGACCAAACAAATGCAGTTAGTTTCCACGTAGCTTTTAAAAATCCCTGAAAATTGTATATATTATTAGAACAGATGTGAAAAATCACCTAAAAGAACACACACACAAACACAATGTTTGTGTTTAGCTTTATATCATGGCCCACCTCGAGCTTTGAAATGTAGCCTCTAGTGGTAACAGCTGTTATAGTAAAATGTTTTGGTGTGTCACCATGGCAACCGCTATAATTTACTCATGTATTTGGGCATTTATTTCATCCAAAACAATAGTATAGTTTTCAACTCCTAAAAAAAGTAGTTCTGAGTCCTAACCCTGGGTCTATTTGTCCAAATCCAACAGAAAGACTTTGACTCATGACCATAACTTTATAAATGTGGTGCCAAAAATTAGATTAGAATTAGAGTAGGTGAAAAACAAGAAGGAATCTTATGAGAGCATCAGAGGTACAGCACAGATCAAGCAACTGGGAGATAAAGTTAGAGAGGCCAGACTGAGATGGTTTGGACATGTCCAGAGGAGGGACAGTGGGTATACTGGTAGAAGGATGTTAGAAATGCAGCTGCCAGGGTAAAGACAAAGAGCAGATATATGGATGCAGTTTAAGAGGACATGGAGAGAGTTAGAGTGAGAACAGACTTGATGACTTTCTGTGGTGATGCCTGAAGAGGGAACAGCTAGAAGAACAACAAGAACAAGAAGAACAAGAACATGAACCACAAGAACAAGAAGAACAAGAAGAAGGAAAAGCTAGAAATAGACCTTTAAATATGAGTCATAAAAACAATTCTCATGGCTGTTTAGAGCTGAGTTAAACTGATGCACTTTAGGGAAACTCATTAAGAAAACAATGAGCCATATTTAATGGTATAAGAAAAAAACTTTTGAGTTTGCTTGAGTTGGAGGACCACAGTATTTCTGACTCATTTTTCACATGAAGTCTTTTCATGTTAAACTGTACTCGCCTCCTTCCTCGTTACCAAACACTGCTCATTTTAGAATGAACCGGCTTCCTAGTTGGATGCTGTACTACCTTGACCTTGATTTAAGTACTTTGAGTACACTGAACTAGAATACAGTGTAATTCAACATCAACACTCAAACTTTGATCAGTCAGACTCCCATCCTCAGCCTATAAAAACCACAGGACATATTATCCATCTATGTAAAGAAATAACGTCTTCCTCACCCCATCCAACAGCGCAGAACTTGAAGATGTAAGAGGGCACATAGGTGTTGAAGACCTTAACCAGTGCGAAGTACATGTGCAAAGCCTCCAGACCCATCCACATGAAGGAGGCTAACATGAAATAGTGAAGGGCAGCAGCAGTTGTAATGCACAGGCCGTAGCTGTTGAAGGATGAGAGCCAGGAGTCGAGGAGGAAGAGCATGCTCAAACCCAGCAGTGCAGCTGACAGGTTGATGAGTATTTTAGATGGATAGTCCTGACGCAGCTTCCTGCGAGAGATGCAGATTGATGAGGGTCTAAGAAGTCTTTACAGTTCTTAATATATCAACAAAGTTCAAACTATACACTACCATTCAATTAATAAGACTGCAACATTAAAACAGGAAGTAAAATACATTTTTTCTAGGCACTGAGGCTCCTTAAAACAGGGGTTCCCAAACTTTTCCATGCCATGGCCCCCCAAACAGCATTAATTTCTGGCCGAGGCCCCCCTCGCAAACCCACAAACAATGCTACAAAATATGTAAAAAAAAAAAAAACATTAACTTTTAGAATGTTTTAACTTTTATTCACTATATTCACTATATATAATATACACTATATTTATATATATAAATGAATAAACTTTATACCATTCACATACCATACCATACCATATTCAATTAACTATTACAGCTGATGAGCATAACATTTTTTTTTATTAACTAACATGTTTTAAACACTGAATTATATTCCCACAAAAAAAGAAATTGAACAAACTGCTGACCAGAAGAACAAAACAAAACAAATCAAACCTCTCTCTCAAGTACGTTTATCTGGATAGATACAGATTGTCCTAGAGGACAATTATTATTATTATTACCATTTTTTTTTATGTTTGCTTAAAAAAAAAAAAAATCTTCTCTCCAGCTTTCTGTGGGGCCCCTAGCGCCCCCTGGCGGTCCCCCAGGGGGCCGCGGCCCCACTTTGAAAAACTGTCTTGAAATGTCCAAAATTCAGTTTGATATTATAGTTGGATGTTTGGAGTTTGGTTGTTTGGCAGCACTTTGATTTAAAGATCAGAAATTACATATTCATTTTATTATTATTATTATTATTATTATTTAACACAAGAGTGGGCAAACCAATTGCAGGGCTGCATAGAGATTTGGAAAATAAAATTTCTTTAACACTGATAATCTGGAAGGCTTTTAATAGGCTTATTTATAAGTTGGTTCTCTTTTCATTTAAGAACATTAGGTTCAGATGGAGATTGAACCATATGTTGCCCACGTCTGCTCTAACATGCACATAATGAAAAGGGTATAACTATAAGGAAAAATCAAATAAATAAAAATTATTCGTATTTTGATTAACAAAACGACCCGTTCTACTTTCTGCCTCTCGCCTTCTCACTATCACAGCTGTAAATTTCTGTATAATGGATACTGGGAAATTACGTAAACACATTCTATTATAACATGACAAGACAGTTTTATATGGACTTACTCAAAAACAAGATATGTGAGCAAAGTGATGCCAAGAAAGATGGAGGATATTCCACAACCAACGTACGAGATCACTGTTAGAATCTCACTGTCAGCTTTACTGATAGAAGTCCGTGATACATCCTGAAATACACAAAATAATGTTTAAATAATACGTTAACAGTGCAACTCAATAATGGCATCAAATGTACACCAAAACTACAAAGCTTATAGTGTATTTTAATGTATATAAATACATAAAATATGTCCATGTTGTAGCAGCGTTGTTAGCATTCTTTATTGTTGGCAGATAGACATACAAACAAACAGATTGCTTCATGTGGGGGTTTGATCCCTGATTTTATTTATAAGATGCCCCCCACCCTCCGGAGACTCACCAGGAGGACGGCGAAATGTGTGAGGTGATCACAGAGACAGCTGGTCTGATGAGAGGAGATACTCCGAGTTTCACAGCCACTGCTGTTCCAACCACCGAGGCTGCCTGACACACAAACACAACATTTGATTAAACCTTCTTATCACCCAGCTTCCTATTTGTAGAAACCTTTATGAATCAGACAGTCTAGTGGTGCTTAGTTACTCTCATGTAGAAGTTAAACTCCCACCAAATCACAGCTAATTTCCAACTCACATTGTTAAAAATTTGAACCTCTTCAAACAAACCCAAGAAATAAGAACAAATACACTAAAATATTTACACTTACTCAGCTTCTCTTGGTCTTTTCTACAGGTCTTTCAAGGTATATTGGCCTTCTCGACACGTCATGCACGTGAATGTGTAAGGTAGCTTTGTTTCTGCAGCCTATAATCCACATTTTGTTCGATCCCAGTTTATTCATAGTTATGCCTTTCTTGATGATGAACTCTTTGAGGTAATGTTCGATAAGAAAAAAGCATGCATGACTTGTCTTTGGCAGAATGTTGCAGCATGGTGGTGCAACTGGTAGAGCTGCCGTCTCTCAACGAGCAGGTTACCCCGGTTCAAATCCCGGTCCGGGGGCCTTTCCGAGTGGAGTTTGCATGTTCTCTCTGTGCATGCGTGGGTTTTCTCCGGGTACTCCGGTTTCCAGACCAAAAACATGCATGTTAGGCTGATTGGTAACTCTAAATTGTCCCTAGGTGTGAGTGAGAGAGTGAATGTTGTTTGTCTCTATGATGGACTTGCGACCTGTCCACGGTGTACCCCGCCCCTCGCACAATGATTGCTGGACATGGGCACCAGCAACCCCCGTGACCCGAACAGCAAGAAGCGGGCAAAAGATAATGGATGGCTGGATGGATTGATAACTGGATGTTTAATATATGAACGATGGCTGGATAATGCTGGACGTCCTCTAACTCTGAGTACAACATTTTCATCCACAAAAACAACTAGTTTGTTCAAATTGTTTGATTTGTTGATAGATGTTACTCCTTTGTTTCTCTCTATATGCTTAATGTCACTGCTGAAAGTTTCTTCCTGAACTATAATTTGATAATATAAAGGTCTGCTTCCTTTCAAAGTTCATCCATCCATCCATTTTCTTTACCTGCTTATTCCATTTTGGGTCACGGGGGTCGCTGGTGCCCATGTCCAGCAATCACTGTGCGAGGGGCGGGGTACACCCTGGACGGGTCGCAAGTCCATCACAGGGCCACATAGAGACAAACGAGACAAACAACCATTCACTCTCTCACTCACACCTAGGGACAATTTAGAGTTACCAATCAGCCTAACATGCATGTTTTTGGACTGTGGGAGGAAAGCGGAGTACCCGGAGAAAACCCACGCATGCACGGAGAGAACATGCAAACTCCACCCAGAAAGGCCCCTGGACCGGGGTTTGAACCAGGGACCTGCTCGCTGAGAGGCAGCAGCTCTACCAGTTGCGCCACCGTGCTGCCCTCCTTTCAAAGTTCATGCTCAATAATCCAGGTGGAAAATCCACCGAGGTTCAGTCAGGTCATCTGGATGGTTTCTTTTTGTTGTTGTTGAGACGTTTCGTCCTTCATCCAAAGAATTTCATCGGTCCGAGGAGCCACGACAAACCGAGTCCCACAAGCAGCACACACATAGTGGACCAACCAGTTTGCTAGTGATAAGATGGTTTCTGGGGCCCGCCCTGGTCCCTGTTTACTCGTCTGAGGCTGCCATAGCCAAAGTGGTTCAAAAATTGGCTGAATTTGGATGATGGACGAAACGTCTCAAGGGAAAAAATAAAGAACGAAACCGTCCAGGTGACCTGACTGAACCTTGTTGGGTTCTACTTCCTTTCTTTCTTCAATACTTATAGGTTCATTTGTTTTGGGCTTGAGACCATTAACTTGCCTAATACAGCTCTCAGAGGGATAGAGCTTCATCAGTTCATGTCCAGACAGAAAATATAAATAGATGGTCAAGCACGGTGTTAAGCACCTGCGCTCTTCGTAGCTCTGCACTATGGTCATCCACTGCTGATTGTATGTCACATTTGAGCCTTCGAGTTTTGTCTGCACCTTGGGTTCTACTCCACACTAACACATTATAGAAAATAGTTAGCAAAAATCCACTCACCATACTTCTGGAAATCCCAAAACATGCACTGGACCTTGTCTTCTGGCTAGAAACAATAATTATTAATGTTGTAAGAGCTATCACATAGCGAGGTTTTGTTACAGCTGCTACAATGAAAGCCATAACTCTCACCTGTTTGGGATTTGCATGGTTGAGGGTCACCACCACTCGTTTCTCCAGGTTGATGACTTGGCTGTTGTTGATGCTGGCAGAGACTATACAAGAGTTTAATGTCCAGTTCCTTTGTGTTGCATTGACTATAAATGAGTCCTGTTAAAAAAAAACAAAAGTTTAACCAGCAGGGCAAAAATATGCTGCAGATCTCACATTCTTGACATGTACAGCAAGTTGGTCCTAATAGGGTAATGTTATCTGAATTGTTATTAATAAAAAACTTATTGTATAGAAATGTTCTTAATTATCTTCTGCTGATATGAAGCTCTGACCCCATTCTTAAGTCTGAATATATAAAAATTCAGTTAGGAAAGACTGAAATCAGAAATAACAGCTTCTGTCTGAAGGTAATTTAGTTGCCATTTCTTGTTTGTCCAATCTGTAAAGTGACGTGTAAAACACGTTGCCTGGCAACATCAGGCTTCATCAGGACACTTAACCAGAGAGATGACTAAACATATAAACCCCAGCAAAATAACAAGCCTGGTCAGGTGTTTTCTCTGGTTTAAGCACATTTTCCCAAACCATGATATAATCCTTTGCTGTTCACACAAGTGGCATTCTCATTCATAAAACTGGTTTATTCAAACAGCTTAAAGTAGTGATAAACTAGTGAGAACAACAACAAACTGAAACTTATATTTCGAAGAAAATACCTGAAAAAGGTCAGGAGTTCCATAAAACTGAAACTGGACTCGTGTGGTGTTTTTTTCTCCAGTGGGTAAAAAGTGATTGAGTTCAGGGGGCAGAGAGATGGTGGCGTTTGTCTCAGGGAATGGTTTGTTCACAAAACTCTGGTTGACAAAAACCTGAGAGAGAAATAAATGAAATTGAAAGTTGATCTGACAATCACTTGTAAAAACATGTTTTAGCTTCAATGACTGTTTTGATTTCCTGACGCCATAATGTCTTGTTCTTTTATCATTTACTGAAATTTCACATTTATTTAAACTTTGTTTTCATTATGTGTTTGTATATAAATATGTTTCTAATCATACAAGAACTACAATGTATGGGAATTAGTATTTTAATAGTCAGATGGATTTATTTTTTTGAATTCACTGTTTTTTCTCAATCTGTTTCATTATTTTCTTTATTTTTCTTCTTCTTAGTGAATCAGTTCAGTTCTTGTTGTGTCTTTGTTTTGTCATTTTTTATCCTTTGGTTTTCTCGCTATTGTTACAAGAACTTCTCTTACTTTTTTCCAATGACTTGATGAACGTGTCATGACCTCAGCAGGTTACTGCATCTTGTTTGCTCATTATCCCAAGTGTTATTTAAAGCTCAGATCTTTTGAAGTGGGGTTCAGTGGAGAAGTTATAAAAGATTAGTACTCTACCTGTCATAAATGGCTCTTTGAATGACGCAGTTTGAAGAAATATGCCCTAGAGTTTTGTTCCTACAGCTGTCTCCACCAGATGCTGCCAATGGAGACGCACCTGCAGATCCTTACCCTGATGAGCTGAAGGTGTATAAAGGGTATTTGACGACACCACTCCAACGCTGGTGCGTTGTCTTCCTGATGGTAGTGTGTTCCTGGCCCTTCGTTGTATTCTCTAGAGTTTTGTTTATTCCGACTCTTTGCTCTTATGCCTCACAGAATCTCCTGAGCTCCTTCGACTCCCTGGATCCTCCTTTGTTCCCGCCTTTCCTTCCCCAATTAAACAAGTCCCAAGCCTTGATCGTCCTGGGACCTCACTGGACTGATGCTGGATCCTTGGATTCTCATGCCCCAGAGTTTACCACCTTATCAAGTAACCACACTGTTTGTTATTGTTGTCTGCAGACCGGCTTGGCTCCTACTAACTGTTCCCTTGTCTTCAGGGTTCCAGCCCCTTCTTCCAGAGGTCACAGTTCAATGGTTTCCTTATCATTCACTTGTAAATAAACACTGTTAAAACTGTTCCTGATCTTGTGGTTGCTCTTACGGCTCATGACCGTTCTGTGTACTTAGTAAATCGTTACAAAATAGGGTTTAATTCCAACTTTGTTTTTCCCAAAGGGAAGCTGTTCAGTAGCCATCTACAGCAAGTATGATTGTGTTCATGACTTTTCTAAAGAACCCCACTTCAACTGATCTGAACCGCTTTAGGTTTGTTTGTTACAAATTTGAAGTTGCTACATTCGTTTCTAGATTCTTTGCCTTTTTAATATTCTGAGTTTTCAGTCCATTACAGTTTTTTTGTTTGTTTGTTTCCTTCCATCTAATTATTTACTTTTGCAGTGTCCCATGACAAGAGCATTTCTTTTGTTAGTCAAACATTTCAATAACCCTAATGACTCAGTTATCATGTGAGTCTATATCTGTTGCACTTGATCTGCAGTAAAGTTCCCATCATGGCGTCTTACCTCGGGGTTCATTGTGGCTGTTAGAGAAACTCCAAAGGTGAGGCCACTGAATTCATCTGGATCGACATCAATCATGGAAAGGGCGAGGGCTGGAGCTTTTATATTTGCAATTTCACCCTGGAACTCCATGCTGTTCCCCATCCGGTCCGTCAGATCAAGAACACTTTGCAAAAGATGGCGAAAGCAACAAATTACTTTTTAAAACAATGCAAATTTTAGCACCGGGTCACCCTTTCTTTACCTGTTAGCCACTGGTGTGACATCGGTTTCAGAGAGCAGGATATTGGCCACGATATTAACAATATCCCCTCCAATGTCGGGCTCGATGGGGCTTACATCAACCACTTCACTGAGCTTCTCCACCACTGATCCCAGCTCGGAATGAGACAGCTGGGAACTGTTCCCTAATTGAACATCTACCAGCTCCTGGATCATGTCCACAACCTCAGCTGCATTACCTGGAGATCATCATTATTAACCATTAACGGATGTCATGCCGCAAAGCTTTGACGTGGGATAAAAACTAGAACGATGGAGTGAGATGTCTCTTACCAGGGGTGACGGTGATGTTGATGAGGTCTGATATTGTTAAAAGCTGGTGGCAGTTTGTCATATCAGGATCAGCCCAGTGGGTCGTGTCCGTTTCAATGTCTAACTTACTGAAAGGAAAAGATCAGTGAGCGGAAACATTGAAAAGCTTCAGTGTTCGTGTCTGCATCCTTGGCTTGTTATAACACAGCCAGTTTCTGAACCAAAGGGATATAACTAGTAATAAATGCTGCCATCAACTGATTAACTTAAGCATCAGCTAAATGTTTTTAACATGACCATAAAACAAATTACACAGTCATTTGTCTTGATAAAAGTTATTGCTTGACAGAGTGAAATAATTGCATTGATTGTTAGCATGCGGGAAATCTTTTTTTTATTTTTTATTATTATTATTAGCTGCACGATGGCAGGGATCCAAGCAGCACCGATACATGTTATCAGCTTTAACAACTGGATGCTGTAACTGAGAGATTGCTATTGTGGTTTTGAGCCAATCTCTGTGGAAACGATGTTAAATTTGAAGCACATTTGTAAAATAAAAAAGCTGGTTCACCAAAGTCTGTAGGCTCTGTTTGTTAACGGCTTATTGCAGATCATTTCTTGGAGGACTTGTGGAAACGTTTCTTGCCAAATGTATCGCCCATAAATCGTTGACATGTCATCTTCCGCACAATTTTCCGGTTCTAAAAACAAAAAGGCAATTTGTTGTCAGTATTTGTCTCCCTCGCTCTCTTTACTTGCGTCATGAATACAGCTCACCTATGTGTTTGATCGTCACAGTCAGAGTTTGAATGGTAAGTGTGCCGTTTTCAAACTTTTTTGTCAAGGCAGCGCGAATGAACGATTCGATTTCCGCCACATTGCTGGTGCGAAATTCCTGAACATGGAAGGTGCAATAATATCTGCTGAAGAGATCAATAAAATCATGCTGCAGGTTGACGAGACAGATAGGCTTTTGACATTTGTGAAATAAAATAAAGCTGCAAAATTGAAAAACAAACAATAACATGAAAATAAACTGATATAGCAACAATAAAATCAAAAAGATGCTAAACAAATTTTATCGTGTGACACCTACTGTTTTTGTTGGCTGTTAAAAGCCTGGAAAACAGGAAAACAGAGCATTTAATGAATAAAGTGCGTAAAAAGTTGCAGTTATTTGTTAAAAACTGAACTTTATCAATAAACTTGCACATCCAACTTGTTCTGCTATGTAAATAAGCCCACTTACCATCAAACTATTTTTGTTTTTCATGCTCCTGTGAAATATTAGAAAACAAGACACGGTTCTTATTTGACAGGTAATGGGAGAATAAATGCCAATTATGAAAAGATTACTGAGGACACTCACCTGTCGACATTTTCTTTTATGATGACATTCAGGACAATCATTGTCCTGTTCACCTGAAGCTCTTCTTTCAACTTTCAGAAGCATAAAAAAAAAACTGTAATTTTTTTTTATCCACAACATACAAATATGGTTGTGTTTGTTTCTTACCCATCTCTCAATGACAATACTTGGACTTGCAGGGCTCCCTGTCATACTTAAAGTCAAATTAACTCTGAAGAATTGATCTGAATCGACTGCAAATAAAAGAGAAAGCCCAACGTGAAGCAAACGACAAAACAAAGATGAGAAAAAATTTTTTTAAACTTTTATTTTTAAGAGATTTGTGTTATTTTTGATTGGCCTACAACTTAAGAAGTATGGGCGGGTGGGTGGGGGTGGACATAGTCAGAAATACAAATTAGTTGAAATGACCTGTTGTGAGCAGTTTTCAAAATCAAAGTTATAGTTATTAACTTCCAGCATCTTGGACCCTCATTTATGGAGAAGATGTTTAAAAGTATCATGAGCGGATCATCTGCGTAGTGTTGAACCCAGATGCAAACAGAATTCGGGGAAACTCGAGGATGAATAAACAACTTTTTTCTTCTTTTTTCGGCTGCTCCCTTCTTTAGTTGTTGCCATGGTGAACTAAGTCGCACGAAGACTTGGCAATTATTTTTATGCCGGATGCCCTGGTACGACCCCAGAGCACTTAGCAAATAGATGCAGGGATGCTTATGTAGCCTTTATATGTAGATATATAGATATATAGATATGTAGATATGTATATGAATGTATATTCATGTGTATGTATGTTTGTATATAGGCGTAGGTATGGGTATATATATTTATGGAAACTTACTGCAAAGCCATGAATATTTTAAGTTCTTTATACATATGTATTTTGTTGCTGTGTTTTGTCATGTTCTTTGCAGGTGAACAGTCAGTGGCCGGGTGTTTTGCCGTGTGCTTTCTTTGTGTATATTTCTTATATTTTGGAGTCTTACTGTGTCTTTTCTTTCTTTCTATCCTATTAAAAAAAAAAAAAAAAAAAAAAACCTACACTAGATAATCACTAGAATAAATATTTCATAATAATGGTGTGGAGAGGATGGCTGTAAGGGGAGAAGGGAGGCCATCTATTAAAAAAAAACAACAACTTCTGCCTCAACTTTGACAATACTCTCACTCCATCCCCACTCTTTCGTAATCCTGGTATTCTTCTTGAGTACTCTCTTTCATTCGAATCACACGGCAAACAGATAACTCAGACTGCATCCTTCCATCTCAAAACATAGCACGACTCCGCCCATCACTCACTTTCTCCACTGCTGAAATCCTAATCCATGCCTTTGTCACATCCAGAATCGATTCTCACAGTAACATTTTGTACAGTACACCATCCCAAACTCTCAACAAACTGCAATATATCAGAAACTCTGCTGCCCGCCTTCTCACCCACACCCACTCCTGTGAACATATCACTCCTGTCCTGCAGAAACTCCATTGGCTTCCTGTCACTCATTGCATCCATTTCAAGATCCTCCTCATCACATTCAAAGCCCTCCATAATCTGGCCCCTCCATACCTGACCAACCTACTCCATCACTACACTCCTTCTCGTTCTCTCCTCTCCTCTGATGCCAACCTTCTGTCTCTCCCCTGTAGGACCAAGCTCTGAACCTGGGGAGACAGAGCGTTATCCATCGCTGCCCCCGCCCTCTGGAACTCACTGCCCCAACAGCTTTGTGTCTGCTCTGATCTCCCCACTTTTAAGAAAGAACTCAGAACTCACCTGTTTAAAATTGCTTTTAATGTTTAAATTTGTACTTTTTAAACGTTTTATTGTGTTTTTATGTGTAATGCATTTTTGATTTTATATATTTTTTAACTCATGTAAAGCGTCTTTGAGTGCTTAGAAAAGCTCTATACAAATAAAATGTATTATTATTTATTTAATTTTAATTATTATTATTTATTATAAAGGAGGCCTAAGAATAATAATCAAAGACATTAAGAGGACTCACCGACAGCTAAAGTGAGATCTGGTTTCTTGGTCGTTGATGCGTCAGCAGGAGTTGTTTCTGTAAAACAATGTTCATATTTTTATCATAAAATATTTTCAGCCTCTTCGTAAAACAGAACAATCCATTAGATGGTTGTTTGACAAATCAATGTTCTTCATTCTCAGTGGCATGCTCACTTGGTGGAAACAAATTGGTGCTGTTGGTTGTTGGAGGTTCTGTTGTTCTTGGAAGAACTTCTGACAGAAAGAAAGAGAAGAGATCACATTTTACTCTATCACGGTGACTAAAAATAAGCACGTTGGATGCAAAAATTTTCTTGTTGACGCTGGATGTCTGTCAGTTTAAGTTTGTGCATGTATGGAGCGTGATTTTCATTTACTGAGAGGCCGCACGCAGAAGTTTATAGATAACGTGTTTATCCACATGCACATTCTCACGAACTGAACAAAAATTAATCTGTTATGTCTTCAAACCATTTTATATCTGTAGAGTTGATCCTAATTCCTGTTTGGTGTGTGACTTGAACTCCGCAGCGCAGACTCACCCACAGGAAGTATGACGATGCTGCTGGTGAAAACTGTGATAGTGAGGAAGTTGTGAGAGAAAGTCAAACTGAGTAATGTCGTCACTTCTGCCTGAACCGTTTTTACATCAGTAGCAGGGTTCACGTTAACGTCGACCGCACAGCTGAAACTACAGAAGCACAAGCACACATAAAACAGCAGCTCAACTCAATACATGAACAGGTTTGGGCGATAGTTAGCTCTTTGTTGAGCAGCTTTTTGAAATATTTTAACTTTATTTTAGAGCCGTCTTACCATTTGTCACACGTTAGGTTTGATTTTCTTAAACCCTGTGAATGCAGATAAACAAGAATGTATGCAGTTTTATTAAAATTCTCACTAGCAGATGATTACAAATAAAAAAAGAATAGCTACTTTTAACTTACAGCTAAAATTTTGAGTTTTTTTGCAACAAGCTTTTTAAATTATAGCTTTTAGTTAGCATTTTGGCTTTTCTGCAAATTTTTTTTCAGCAAACTTATTCAGAACTCATAATTTTATTTGTTTATTTCTGTTTTAAGGTTATGTAAATGCACTTTGATCTAAATTTGCTGTGTCCTTCTGTTGCCTTCCGCAGTGGAAAATTCAACTCATCAGTGTACCTGAGGTTGTTGTGTCTTCAAGGCTGCAGAATTATTACCCATGAGGCACGTCGGCCTGGAAGGGAACACAGAATACAGAAATGGAAATCAGTCATGTTTCCTAAGTGCTGTTCTGATTGTGAAATATCTGCTATAAGTTCCTCAGACACACGTCATGTTAATAAAGGAAGTACTAGAAAAAATAAAAAATGAACAGAGAATTTGCATTTCCTGCAAAAATGCAGTGTGAATGCGTATCGCTGAAAAACAGCTGAAATTAGCTAAAAACATGCAGAAATAGCTGAAAAGGAAGAACAAGCCTAAGTTAGCAGAAGAAAGCAGAAGTGGAAATTCTTTTTAAAAAGATGTAATTTCCCCAAAACAGCTGAATAGTAACCAAAGAAATGTAGAAAGAAGCTTAATTTTCCAAAAGGAAGTGAATTCAGCTTAATTGTGCCAACTAAGGCTGAACGAGGCAGAAATTAGCACAATAAAGTTGAAATTATCTGCAAAAAGCTGAAATTTGCCAAAACAGCTGAATAGTATCTAACACAAGCAGAGAGAAGCTTAAATTACCAGAAGAAAGTGGGTAGAGCATGATTTTGCTGAAATCAGCTGAAAAAAGTTGAATTGATTGCAAAAAAATGTGGAATTGGTTGAAAAAACTGAAATTAGCATAAAAACAGCTAAATACTAGCTGAAATACCAGAAATAGCTGAATTTAGCAGAAATAAGCTGAAAGGAGCATAACAAGATGGACACATCAGATTGCAACAATAATTAATCTACAGATCTAATCTATACAAGTGATAAATTTATTTCAGGTTTAGACAGAATAATCTCTTCTGCTTTGTCCAAACCAAAAAAAAAAAAGTTTTACCTTAGAGATGACACGAAAATGTTTTGGACAGAAATGTTTTTAGGGAAAATACTCTCCAGCTAAAAACACACCAAAAAATAAAAGAAGATGACAAACATAAATAATAACTGTGATTAATACATTTAAATGTTTCTGAGGAACTTTTTGTACCCATTTTCTTGTGATTTCTTCCAGTGGGACTGAGCAGCTGTCAGGGCTTGTGGAGTCATTCATAAACACCCACATTTTGATTTTGTACTGCGACCATCCTGAAACAAGATAAATAAATATTGTAAGGGCTAAAAATGTACAAATATCATATTATAACTATTACAGAATGGCTTCTTTTAAGAATATTTATGAGGATTTTTTTTTAAGTTCAAGTTCAAGGTTCTTTATTGTCATTCACATCACATGTGGTACATGAGGTGGAAGGAAATTGTGTACTCAAGGTCCCAGTTACACCCAAAAATAGCAAAAATATAAAGTACTGTAACTCTAATAATAATAATGTCATCACATTTTCATACAATGGTGAAATTGGTCTCTGCATTTAACCCATCCACCACCAGGTGGTGTAGTGGGCAGCTATTGAAGGCGCCCGGTGGGCATTTTGAGGATAAGGTGTGCTGCCCAGAGACACCACGAGGTATGCAGTGACCGGGGATCGAACCTGGGACTTTCAAGTCCCAAGCCGGCTGTCCTGCCTCTGCACCATCTCGGCTCGCTGTATAAGTCGCAGTTTTTTGCATAAATTAGCATGCCTGCGACCTATACAGCTAAGCAACATATTTATGTTTCCCCCCATATTTATAATGCAAGTTTCAGCTGAGATTGGACAATTTCATTCATTCTGACATGGAAAATATTGAACACTACCATTTTCAGCCACTAGGGGGCCCTCGACTAATATGGCAAGCCAAGTGTCTCATTGATATGTAAAAGTGTCTATTAATGAGACACTTGGTTTGCCATACCAAGCCAGCTTCGTCTCGCTCTGGAACTCCTGGAGTCAACGTCAAATCAGCTGCATTTCGCCGCACTGCCCAGGCGAAATGCAGCTGATTTGACTGTTAAAGTGCATTTATTAATTATTTATTATTAATTTATTATTTATTGCTATAATTTCGAGCAAACAAATAATTGTTTTTAAGTGTTACTCTTGTTAAAGTCCTCCTGTGCACGCTCCTGCGGCCGCCATTTGGCAGCCAATCAATTTTTGGCACAACACCGGCCCACGTTTCCAGGTTGTCAGCGGTGACGCATAATAGATGCAACTTATACGGCGAAGCGACATATTTATGTTTTTTTTTTTCCATTTTATTAGACAAATATGAATTGATGCGACTTATATGGTGACAAGTATGGTATAAAAAGAAACAGTATATAAGGATCTAAGATATACACTAAGCTATATGCTAAACGATACGCTAAAAGGTCGCTAAACGCAACTAATGTAAAATAATACGATATATTAAACAGCAGCCCGAACATGAGCACAAACACTAAACGCACACTGCTCAGGGTTTATTCTCTATAAAATGAAACAGAAATAGTTCACGCTGTAATTACCACAGTACAGATTGTTGTCGGGCTTAGGGGGGCAGTTGTATCTCCATTGCTGCAGATCCCAGCTCACCACGTCCCCGTCTGCACAGCCCAGTCGGTTCAGCTCCTTGGCGCTCAATTGTCTCCCCCACATCCTGAACACACCAATCTCACCCAGCAGTTTATTCCCGCTCTCTGGCCGCAAATCTCCATTCGACTGAACAATGTGAGAAACCCCCAGAGTCAGAGTGCCGTTCCGGGCCAGCTGATGGTGCAGACCTTCCCCTGGAGACAGAGTTGTCTCCTCCAGAACAAGTCCGTTGATGTATATTCTCAGCTTCTGGTCTTGATCAGACCAGGTGAGGCAGATCATGTACCACTCATTCAGCTTGAGCTCCTTGGTAAAGTGGTATTTTCTGCCAAACAGCCACGCCGTCAGCTTTGAGGACGTTCCACCAAGCCCCAGCTCGATGTCTTCGACTTGTGGAGCTTTGTAGACGAAACCCGTCCAGTTAGTTCTAACGCTGTGTCTTAAAAGCATGCAAGCACTCAGCTCTCTCAGGGCTGGGACCACGACCTTCGGCTGCAGCTGCCACAAACAAGGGGGGCCTATAAACTGCAACTTCTCCCCCCACAAGCTGGTGCTGCCAGAGGCTGCTGTATTACACAGAATAAAGTTACAGATTAATAAACTCATTAATGCATTTCGTCCAGTTAAGCTCAGATGTCATTTGTTGCTCAAAGTCAACCAGAAAGAAACGGGAAAAAGTATCAAAATAAAATGCTGCTACGACACACTTTACTTTATGGGTACTTTAGCGACACTAATTAAGACATTGGCAATGGCTTAAAAACAATTTAATCTTACCTGAAACCAGAGGACACACTGACACAGCTATCAGCAAACAGGTGGCAAGAAAAAACTGTCTTCTCACAGAGTTCATGACAGTAAATCTTTGAAAACGCTCAAGATTTCTGCACTGATCAAGTGGTGATCTGTTTGAAAAGAACAGTGAGAGGTTAGCTGTTTACAGTTTAAGGATGAATAAACTATTATTATTATTATTGGGCGAATATATTAAGAATAAAACTCAGACTTACCGTGGTGTTTTCCTCAAAAAGGTCCAATAGAATAGTGGTTTGCGATCAGTTCACTTCCTGAGAAGCTGGCTGAGCCGCAAGACAGCTGGCAAATGAGAGTTTATTACTCCGTAAAGAACATCCCCACACCCTCGCTTTGCCTTTGGTGCATGGAGTTACTCATTAGTCACCTGCAATAAAAATAACTAACACACATGATAATGAAAAACCCTAAACTCCATGAAACTCTTAGAAAACAACGTCCTCCCGTTTTAGAAGATACATCGAGTTTCCTAACTTGTTGTAACATTTACAGAGTGCTGTAAAATTCTGTTTGACACCAAACTGTTCGTGAAAATAGATCATATTTAACAATGTGTGTCTAATTGCATTATATACCAAGGTAATCTATAGTTCCTTTTTTGATTACTTCTGCTTGAAAGGGAACATGCTACTAAAACTTTAAAGCAGGAGAAGGCATACATTTTTAATCGTAGATAAAAGAGTTTTAAATTAGCTTTATCCCTTTATGTTGCGTATGGTGCTCGAGTGAATCAGGACCCTCTGATTGTATTTTTAGATTATTTGATTAGTCTGGTGTTCAATTGTTAAACAACAACCAGGCGTGTTCATGGACGCACAGGTGTTACTGTTTGGGTAACACTTTACAATAAGGTGCACACAATTTGATTAACTACTAGGGAACGCCTCAGAAACGAATCAGGAGTTAATGGGTAGTTAGCCAGTACTTACTGGGGAACACACAGCCAAGCCTTATTGGGTGACTACTGGTTTGTTAGCACAGAAACAGAGGAGAAATTATTCATGTGGGTTTTGAAAAACCCTGCACCAGTGAGGTCACAGCTCCTAATTGTCTGAACCCTGTTGCGATTACTGATTTTACTGGATTTTCTCTTTTGTAAACCAATTTTATGATCTTGTACTGATATCATCTTAACTATGTCTGACTATCACTTCCTGAGTACCAAATACAGGAAAGGAGATGTGAGTAGGTTTAGGACTGAACTTATAATGTCAGGATTTAAGGCTGAGATGGATGGGAAAGTTTAAGATTAAAGGCTACATTTAGGGCTTGGTTTACTGGGAAATATATTTTTAAAAAGAGGTTACAATTAGAGTTGGGAAATGGGAATTATAGGAAAGTGTAAAAAAAAACTGGTTAAGGGTTG